CCCCCCCCCCCCCCCCCCCCCCCGCCCCCCCCCCCGCGGCGCCCACCCCCCCCCGCCGCTGGACCGGGGCCAGGGCTCTGCTGGGAAACTGGCCGAAATGTGCGCTTTCCTCCCAAATATTCCTTCCCCTCCCCGGCCGCTGGACCCCCGCTGGGCCACCATCCTCCTCCCGCGCGTCCCCTCGCCGGGGCCGGCTGCGAAGCGAAGACACCGGCGAAGATAAAGACTGGGCGGTTAAATGGTGCTGCCCCGGGTCAGATCTGAGCGTGGGCAGGGGAAGGGAGCGCAGCAGGGACTAAAAAGCAAGTTTTTCATTTTTTAAAATGTTTTCCTCTTTTTTTTTTTAAAAAAAAAAAAAAACAAACAACAAAAAGGGATCTATTTCAGGAGCGGGGGTGATTCATAGCTTGGTGTCTCAGGCGGAGGGCAGATGGAGAGGCCCCCCGGGAGCCCCTCCGCGGGGCTGGCCGCCTGCCCGGGACGCTGCCCTCTCCCTGCCACCGATTCTCCCACAAAGGAGAAGGACAGGCACCGAGGGCAGCAGCAGGCAGCAGCAGGCAGCGTGCCCACATGCACCCCGCTGCTTCCCGCCCTGCTGCCTGCCATGGTCCGGCCCGGCACGGCCCGGCACAGCTACCGACCCCCCACAAAGGCCCCTCGGACGGGGGCTGCCTCCCCAGGAACCCCCGAAGCTTCTCCCCTGGCTTTGGTTTCTGCCCGAGGAGCCAGGGCAGCAGCTCCACTTGCTTTCCTCCGTGCCCCCAAGAAGCCGGAACGCGCGAGCCCCCCGTACCGACGCTGCCGCGGCGGGCAGGTGGCGGCAGCGGGGCCCCAGGCGCCGTCACGGCAAGACAGGGAGCCAAGGCGTCCGAGTCAGCTCTTTTTGCACCAAACCTGGGTTAACCGGGGCAGGAGCATCGTCCCGAGCGAAGGCCGGTGGGGGCTGAGCCACTCCTTGCCTTTCGGTTAAACCAGAACCCAAACCAGCCCCTTCTCCACGAGAAGACGAAGCCCCGCGCGCCGGGGCGGCTGCTCCGGCTCCATGGGCTGCAGGCGCTGTGCCCTCGGGGCTGGCAGCAGACGAGGGGACCGGGAACGCGTGGGAGACGGGCGAGGGGGCTGGAGGAGGAGGGGGCAGCGGTCGGACCGCCGACCATCTCCGCGTGCCCAGGTCCGGCCGTGGCACCCACCAGCGTTGCCCCGGGGCCAGGATCTGGCTCTGCAGCGGCGCCCGGGGCTCCGTGCGGTGCCGTCTGCCGGGTGGGAGCGGGTTTTGCCACAGTGCGTGGGATGTCCTGGTCCGTGGACTGAGGACCTCGAGCAAAAACCAGCCGTGTCTCCGCAGCCCCTTCGAGCGGGGCTGGCGCGCGGGGTCCTGCGTCCCAGGGAGGCGGCGGGCAGAGCGGCGCATGCTGGGACCGATGGCACCGGTGGGATGGCACCGGGGAGCAGGTGGGACTGGGGGAGATGGCACTGGGGACGATGGCCCCAGGGCAGCCCCCGGCCCCCCGCCAGCGCCTCCTCCTTCCTTCCTTCCTTCCTTCGTTTCCCAGCACCTCGCCGTGGCCCCCCTTGGCCTCTCCTCCCGCCCTCCAGCGCGGCCGCATTTTTCTGGGTTTGAGCTCATTCTTTCCACTCCCCTCTCTGCTGGCTGCCAACTTTCCATCCCGTGGCCTCCCCGCACAGGGAAACACCGGCTGCAGCTGCGGGAGCAACCGGCAGCAGCGAGGAGCCCCCGGCCCTGGCGTGCAGCCCCCAGCGCCGCGTCCAGCAGTGCCAGGAACTGGGGTGCGCGGAGCCCCAGGGCAGGGCCCCGGCAGAGCAGCCGGAGCCAGAGCAGCAGCAAGGGGAGAGCAGCAACACCGCGGCCACCAACAGTTCGGGGAGGCATGGAGCAACAAGGAGGAAAGTCCGAGCAGGCTTCCCTGGTCCTGGGGACAGAGCCTGGAGGGAGAAGCCTTGGCTGGGGTTTGCACCTGTGGAGAGACTGTTTTCCCATGGGGACAGGGCGCTGCCCCATCCCAGCGTCCCCTTCGCACCGGTGACCCCCTCTCCAGCTGCACCGCGCCGGCCGTGGCCAGCAGCTCCCCATGCTTGAGCCGCACAGCGAGCGGAAACTCCCGACCCGACCCGGGGGGAGAGGGCACCGCTGATCCTCCCTGGCGCCGGGCCCGGGGCCGCCGAGCAGGCTGCCCCGCGGCCTCCCGGCTGCTCGCTGGCAGCACAGCCTAAAAACAACCGGCAGAGCCCACGCAGCTCCAGCATTGCCTCCCCGGGTGCCTGGGGTCACTCGCTGCTCGCTGCAGCCAAGCACGTCCCTTCCCGGCTGTGCCGCTCTGCAGCCGGTGCCACACTGCTCGGCTCCTGCCTCCCTGCCCCTTCCCGGGGCACCAGGAGCCACCGAGCGCCGGGCTCCCTGCCAGGCTGCGGCTCCCACGGTGCTCAGGGGCTTGAAACCTGCACCTCAGCAGAGCTCAGCCCTTCCTGGAGGCTTTTCCAAAGCCAGGCAGGAGCCAGGAGGTGCAGGGGGGCTGGAGTCTTCTGCCATCACAGGGGACGATGCTGGGCGAGGAATAGGGACTTCCACCAAGGGCGGCCAAAGGAGGCCCCGGACGGAGGCTCTCCCTGCCCCGAGATGTTTCAGCTGGTGAGGCTGGAGCCTGCCGAGGCCTGGCTGGAGCAGGAGGCAGGTCCTCTGCGCTGGCCGCGGGCAAGGAAGTGGGCTTGAATCCGGCCACATGGCTCCGGGATGCAGCTCCCCGCGGCAGGGACCCAGCAGAGACCAGCACCTCCCTGATGCAGTTTATTCTGCAGATCGAGGGATTTCCCCATTGCACCAGTACAGAGACAGCAGAAAAACCTCAGTCTGAGAAACACTGGTGCCAGGGAGACGTGGCACAAAGCCCCGGCGCGGAGGGGCTGGGGGAGCCAGGCGATGCCTCCGGGGCTCCCCCGCCCCTCTCCCCGGCCAGGCTCCAGGACGTCCCCGAGGCGGACACGGCTACGGTGCCCTCGCCAGTCCCTGCTGCCCTGCGAAGGACGGGCACCACGGGCAGGACTGGCCCCGCTCCCGGCAGCCTCCGGAGCTGCTCCAGCCCTGCAGGCAGCCCTGCGCCAGGGCACGGCCGCCCCTCGCCTCTGGCTCCCCAGGAGCCTCCGTAAGCCAGGATCCCACCGGCCCGAGCACAGGGGCCCGTCCCACCCGCAGCTCCACGGGTGCAGCCCAGGGGACCTGGGCCCACTTGTCCCCTCTCCTGGAGGGGAAGCAGCCGGATCCACAGCACCCTGGGCATCCCTCAGCACCGGTTAAAATGGCTCCACGTCCTCAGCATCGCTCCGGCTCTGTCTGGGCTCTCCTTGCACCCACGGAGCCGCCGGCCACGCTGCTGGCAGAAAGGAGAGTCCCCAGCCTGCGTGCGCGGAGGGTCGAGAAGGCGGTGGCTCTCAGAGCACGGACAGGTCGTGGCAGGACTTGGAGCGGACTTTGAGGGCCACTTTGCTGCTGTTCCTGGCCACCAGCCTGTCGAGGAAGCGCCGGGCTCTCTTGGTGAGGCTCTCCTTGCGCTTCTGGCCAGGCGCGGGGTGCGCGGGGGCCTCCTTGCCGCCGCGGCGCAGGCGGATCTGCCGCACCACCCCCTCGAAGAGCTCGGCCACGTTGTGCTGCAGAGCCGCCGACGTCTCGATGAACTTGCAGTTGAACACCACGGCGCAGGCACGGCCCTCTGCAAGGGAAGCAGCTGGGCAGGGAGCCGGGCGCGGGGCTCCCAGGGGGGTCCCCACCAGCCGGAGCCCCCCTCCACCGCTCACCTTCAACAGAGACCTCGCGGCACCGCACCAGGTCGGTTTTGTTCCCCACCAGGATGATGGGGATGTCCTCGGCCTGCCGCGCGCGGCGCAGCTCGATGCGCAGCTCCGAGGCGCTCTCAAAGCTGCCCCGGTCGGTGACGGAGTAGACGATGACGTAGGCGTTGCCCACCTGCAGGCACTGGTTGCGGCACCAGCTCTCCTCGCCCTGCCGTCGCACAGGGAGCGAGATGTCACTGCTCTGCAGGGGCTGCTGGCAGCCCCGACCACTGCCGGGGGACAGCGGAGCACCTGGGCACTGACGGGACCTGCCAGCACGCCCCACCACCCCCCACAGCGCGGGGAGCGGACACGTGGCCCCGTTAATAAAATGCAGCTTAAAAGCTCCTGATTTTAGGGGGTGTTTGAGAGTTTCCTCCTCTATCAGCAGCAAACTGGGGCTGTGGGCTCAGTTTGGCTCAGGGGCTGCGGCTGCACCACCCGGAGCCGCCCTCGGCCACGCAACGCCGGCGTCGTGGGCGCAGCACCCTGCCTGAGCCAGGCACCGGTCCCTGCCAGGCAGGGTGGGATTAAGCAACAGCAGAAATAAAGGGCGTTGTCGGGGGGTGACGGTGCTGGGGCATCTCCGGACAGCGCAGCTGCAAAATGCGGCCCCAGCCCCGCGGGTGCTGTGCCCAGCTCAGGCACTGGCTCCAGCCCCGCTCCTGGGGACCGGCCGCTGGCCGGTGGCACCCGCGGGAATGCCGGGCCCCGGCACGGAGGGAGGCAAAGGGGGGTTTCAAGGGAGGCAGTGACAGCGGCGCTGGCATTTCTGCCCAGGAGATGCCTCCGTGCACTGGGGGAAGGAATGCCCCTCGCCGGGCTCTGGGGGCCACCGCTCTGCCTGCTGAAGCGCGTGTCCTGGCTGGCAGCACCGTCTCACGTGGATTTGCCCAGTCGGCTCCTTCAGCCCCGTTCCCAAACCGTTCCCATGCATTTCGAAGCAGGCCGGCACCACGCTCCTTCCACCACACAGCCCCTTCTCCCCCTGCCCACCCGCCCCGCGTGCGAGGGGCGCCCCCTGCCCACACCGCTGCTCCTGCGCTCGCGGTGCCTCGCCACGAGAGCCCCCACCGGCGAGAACACGGTGGGCAGCCCCCAGTGCCGGGAGAGGTGGGCAAAGAGCCGGTCAGAGATGTGACCGGCCCCAGCGTGTGTCCCCACTCTGCGGCAAGGGCGGCAGCGAGCCCTGGGACCCCCAGGGAGACCTTTGCGGTGCTCAGAGGCCCCGAAGCAGCGGCCGTGCCCGTACAACGTCCCCCGCAGCGCCCAGCCCCGCTGTACCCGCTGCTCCGGCTCCCAGGTGTCCATCACCAGCAGCGTGGTCTCCTCGCCATCCACAGACAGCGTGCGCTCGTACGCGGCCTCTGCGAGACACCGGGAGAGCCCGGTTAGCGTGGCACTGCCCGGGCAGCCGAGACTCGGGCTCGCGCATGGGGTTTTCCCACCACGGGGGCGTGGAGGAAGCC